TTCCGAGGTGGGTGAAATGAGGACCCAGACTGTGGGGGCGATATGCTGACTCTGTAAACCGCTTAGAGAGGGCTGAAAGCGGTATATAAGTCTAAGTGCTATTGCTGTATTGCTATTGCTATCAAGGAATCCCCGTACTATTTTTATGTGTTTTTTAAATTGCATCTGTTATTACATTTTATTGTTGCTGTTTGTAGTGTGATCCATATTAGAACTTTGAATTATGTATTAAAATAGCAGTACATTGTATATTTTAAAAGACAGGCAATTAGAACATTTAATAAAAATGGATAGAATTAGTTTAAGACTTTTAACCATAATTTAAAGACATTCAATTGCAATTTTAAATTCACTTTACAATTTATGTGGAGCTATGAGAGGTATGTTTTTTAATAAGCATTCTTTGGATCATAGTACTTTATATAGTATGTCAAATGCAGGGGCAATAATAGTACTTATTTATGCCTTTTCTTTTTAAAAACAGCAGTCTATATATTCCTAAATCCACCTACTGGGAGAAAATATTCATTTGTTTTCATCTTTAGTTAAAAATACTGCTATGATTTTTTTCCCCCATCCTAGACTTCTATTCAAACAGAAAAAAAGTCTTTAAATTAAAGCATTCTTAAATAAACATTTGTAGATATGCATATTTTCATTTTTTTTTGGTTCTTAAAAATTAGGGTGCGCGCTAAGGTGGGCAGATGACAAAACATGGATCATGACACAAAAACTGACTTACATACTTGCATCAGATGACAGGACACAAGTACGTAAGGGTTAGGATTATGCATCATGTAATTTTGATGTCATCTTGGCTTGTTCAGATGCCTGTGATAATGGCTATAGAAAGATGGCAACATTTAGTTTAATTTAATTGGTTTCTCATATAACACATAAGCTACAACGGTTTGAAGGGAGACATACAATACTTTTTCTCTGATAGCAAAACCCCCACCATCGCAAATTCATAAAAATATAATCGACGTTTCGAAAGAGAGTTGTCATATAGCATGAGACAACTTTTTTAAAAAACAAATTGCATTATTTGCATCAGGGTAATAATCGCACTATGATTTGGATGCTAGCCATTGCCTTTATCATCCATTAAATATTAGCAGAAATCAAACAGAAACTGACTCCGGTAAGACATATTGGTAACAGGATATAAGTAATAGAGTTCCTTTTACAAAAGTTAATAGCAAACAGAGCCTTAACCTTATAACCATTTCTCTAAACTTAACAGAATGAAGTACTCTTAATTGCAGTCAGATGCATGTCTGAATCTCTCTTTCAGATTTTATTTAAGACTTACCAAGCTGAATGTTTCTAATCCATACTGATTGTTTTGTTTCTTTCAAAATCTTTTCAAAATATACTCCAGCAAATCCACTAGAAAAGCAGGCTATAAGTACCGCTACCAAGCCCACGAGCTGTGACCCTGCTGAAAGTTCTTTAGCTGTTGCTGTCTGCAAATCTGATGGCCACTAAAAGAAATAAAGTAATATATTAAAATATATTTAAATCGCCGAATAAAATTAACAAGAAAGAAGTGGGGGGAAAAATGCAGTAACACACCGGTAACATTTCATATAATGGTCTCCTTTACAATCAGTTCACATGGAAATTTCACAAATTCAGTCAAGTCAGATCCACCAGTTGATGGCTATTCATTCAAGCATGTGATTAATCTATGCAACTGACTAGTCACCACATACCAGTGGTGGGTTTCAAAAATTTTTGGAACCTACTCTGTAGGTGTGGCCTCCTTTGTGGGAGTGGCTTGCCGACCATGTGACCTGCTGGGAGTGGCTTGCAGGCCATGTGTTCTCTCTCTCTCTCTCTCTCTCTC